CCTTGAGATTTTTTTAAAATATACATTTATATATATGTAGTCCAAGATCACTAGAAATTGTGTCGCTACTAGCCCTATCAGTGGAAAGAGGGATCTGTTTGTCATAATTTCATTGTCAGTTTCTTGCTGCAGACGTGGCATTTGCTGGGAATATGTTGTCATTCTCTGCTCTTTGGATATGTAGCTTTATAAAGAGATGCTAGAGGGCTATGCTGAGACTATGAATTGAGCAGGTCATATTGTCAGATGAATGTTGTCTCCCAGGTTATTTTCATTTAAATCTTGTTTTATCCATCTTTGTGCCAGTTTTTCACCGGAACCCTTCTTGTGAAAGGCTGTGGCAAGAAGTGCTCTTACTGCCTGGTCTAAGATGCAATAAAAGAGGTTCTAAGGAATACAGGCCTAGAGGTCTTTACCACCAAAATTTCTATTTGCAAGAAATGGTATCTTAGTCCTGTCTGAAAGAGCAGAGACTGAACAGTTGCATACGCTGAATTTTCTGGACAGTAAAGCTTCATGTGTATTACTTCTGGTTTAGTCTTGTTTCAAGACTTTCATTTTTTATAGTCTTTTTGAATAATTAATTTATTTCCATGTTGTCATCTGCCCAGGTTCATGGGGAATACTTAATAATCCAAGAAGGATTGGAGCATTGCTTTTTCAGTCTGGCACACATTTTACATAAAATGCTTAAGGGTAGCATTATAGCTAGAAGATTAGCTGATCAGATATAGACTTTATTAGCAAGTTCTGAAATGTTTCCCCTGCTTTTTCTGGGTCCATCTGGGCCCTGAGGTAACTACAAAATACGGATTTTGGGTCTATTAGTAGTTCATAGGAACTAGGAAATGTTCTATGACAGCAATAGCTTACATCAGAACAGGTGTGAGACTTGTGACTAAAGGCAGTGATACCAAACTCAGCTAGAGCAGCGGTCACTTCATTAGGCTTTTTGTCTTCTTGTAGTTATGTATTTCTGCTTGTCAGATTGGGAAGCACCTATAGTTATGAACATATCATTGTACTACTCTGGAAGGTTGTCTGGGCAAGCCTGTACTCTCCTCTGGTATTGCAGCATTGACAGGATTGCTGCAGTCTGAGAGTTCCGAAGTGCTCTGTTAGAAGATTATGCTGCTAATAGGTATGTTCCTTTCCAAGTAGAATGCCATGTTTACAATTTCTGTTGAAAAGCAGACATTGGCTGGGTTATTTGGTGGACGCCACTTATCTTCAATAGAATCATTAGTGGAATTCAAAGAACGTTATGATTGATGGAACTGCAAGACAAGACTAGTCCTTGACTTACAGTTTTGCTTTGATAATGAGAGTTCAAGCAGAGGGACTTGTAATATACTTAGTTGACCTAATCGTGCTCTTGAACAGCCTAGACATGGCATAGGATCAGGAACAAGTATCTCCCTTGTGCCCATACATCGCTGCAGTTCAAAGTCTGGATGTCAAAAGTTCTTTCGTATGATTTATATAGTAATTTTCAGTCTTCTCCTGTCCAGAATTATCAGTGTTTTTTTAAGAGCCTGATAGGCTCCTGCAGTCATAAAAGCTATTCCAATAACAAGGACTATTGAGCTGTCATCTGGCCCCATCCTGGTGTGCTTTACCTCACTTTATGGTGTGCCCTACATGGAGGACAAACAGAAAAGCAGAGGTTTTAATTATATTTGGCCAATGGGGAGCATAGTTACTTTCATAACAATAACTAATCGAATAAATAAGTCTCTTGTTATGTGATGTAACTTACTGGCAGTCAAGGCTCGTCCTGCCAGAGCCCAAACAATATCATCTGTCCATGTAAAGTTATTCTAGTATCCCAAATATGCAAGTAATCCAGTCATGTATCTAGACTGTTTTGCATCTGATTTGCCTACTAGATCTGATAGTGTGTTGTAGAATGGTATTTCAAGAGGTAATGCACTAGTGCAGCCGTGATTTCTTATTTCCACCATCATGAAGAGACTGCAGTTTGCCAGACTCTGTATTCCATTAAGTCTTCAAAAAGAGCATGCTTACTTACCTGACAGTGACTCTGATTCTTGAGGATGTTTATCATCTTTAGGAATCCTACCACCAACCTCCCAAACCTGTTTTGGAAGTTTTCTGCTAACGCAGGCTTTCAGACATGAGGAGAATTGGGTGGAGCTGGAGTCATTCTTCCTTTTATGCACTATGGGATTACGAGGATTCGTGCAGCACATGCACAGCTTCAACAGCTGTAGCTGTTTAAAAGACTTCTGAGTTCACACATGTGAAGCATCTGTGTGCCCTCTGCAAGTTCTGTGATGAATGCAGTGTTGCAAGAGAAGTATCTGTTGTTTATGTACTGAGTTTCACTACCATAAACACTGTTTTGGGTTAATGAGATATGACTTTTTCTCACTAGTAAGTATTTTACTAACTTTTAATATTTATAATATTATTGAAAATCAGGTTGTATACAACTATTTACTGTAAAACTTATCCGTCTTATGGTATTATGCATAATCATGTTGTCTTTTTTTCAAGTAAAATAGCAAAATTATTTCCTGAAATGCATTATAAGTATTATAGACCTCTTCAACCCATTATATAAATATTGATTCCTAATATTCTCAAAACCTCTGACAAAAATGCCTTGCATTATTTTTCATCTTGGATTTTGCAAAACTGAAAATGGAAGAGATTAAAGGACCATCTCAGGATTTGGGAAGTTTTGCTTTTGTATCTGGGTTTCAAGTTGAGAGTCCTCCACTTGGATAAATGCATGTTCTTGTTATAAGTTGTCTTTTATCTAATATGGATGCAATTATTAGGTCTCAAACAAAAGTATTTGCATTTCAGGGAAGGGAAGCAGCTTTTTTCTTCTTCCTTTCTCTGTGTGTTAAAGGATGCTTTTGCTAAATCTACTCTTTTCCCACATTAGATGCATAGTGGGAGAGTCAGTGACATGTAGAGAAGGAGAGGAAGTAACAGAATTGACTTACTCGTGTGAGAAGGTAGTTGTGATGTAAGAGAAGTGGGACATGCACACACACACAGAGGCTAAGTAGAAAAAGCTGACCAGATTTTTAGGTTGACTGGATGCTATCTATTTACCAGTGATTTTGGAAATGTTACTTTAACGAAAGAAAGGTGGCTACAAGTCCTTTCAGGGACTCATAATAATAAGGAGTTTCAGGGCAGTTAGAGCAAGAAAATTTTGACTCTTTTGAGAAATATGTCTCAATTCAAGTTTGAATTCTGTTGAATTTCATGAAAACCCTTTCTACTTGCAGTTGCAGCATCAGTGGGTATTAGAGCATCATTTTGTCCGCAGAAAGTTGTTTTTCTGGAAACAACCATTAAGGAGTCATGCACTGGTCTGTGCTGGATTCTATGGGCAAAGCCACTGACTGTTAATAAGCTCTGTCTGGCAGCTAGGAAAGCAATAGGGAATGGAAAATACCAGTATGAAAAAAGAACCAGGAAAAAGGGGGCAGACTGCTTTTTAAAGGTATGCTTTCTAAGCCTAAAAACCATTGGTTTAAAAACAATTTAAATACTTAGAACTCAGAGCTTCACTTTTTTTCCCTCAAGGACAATGACTGAAACTTGGTAAAGTCATGGGAGCAAAAGATACTTAAAGATGGAATCATGTTTAGGTGTTTGGGAGGTGCAGGAGGATTTCCATGAATCTGACACGCTTCTTAACAATGTGTGTGCATGGATGTTTGAGTGTTTCCTTTACAGATCATTTAGATTTACTTCAGCCTCCAAAAGGTCCATCTCTAAGATACCAAAACATAGATGGAGAGGTAACGTGTGAAGCGTGCCCTAGTGGAATATAGGAAGCCTCAGGAAAATTCCCTCAGACCACTGTGTTTTCTTTCTCCTGTTTTCAGTTCATCATTCCTCTTTTCCATCTTTCTTTCCCTTTTTGCCTCTAAAAAAAGTTCCTTTTCACCAAAAGTCATATGAATGTAGTGAAAGGAAGAGAGATGGGTTGGGTTAAGTATAGTTTCGTGTTCAAGTACACTGTATGTGTATGATGCAAGTGAGCTGCCTAGAAAGAAGCAGGTGCCTTTCTTTCCTTATTCTGTTTAGTGTCAAGGGCAATTGTACTGTAGAGGCTCACCTCCCAAAGAGGTGTTGGAAATAATCAACTGTATTCCTGAAGAGTATAATTATAGAGATTTTTTTATATAGAAAATATCTGCTGCTCAGACCTAATGAGGCTTGCAAATGCACATTATCCCAGAGTGGGATGCATAACTGATAATGAAGTTGTTTCTGTAGGTTTGTAGTATCTGCTGGTCTTCTCAGTTCCAGTGGAGAGTAATTGAGATACTTAAGAGGAAATGTGAGAAAGCTTTCAGTTGTTCTTTTAAATGAACCTCCAGAAAGAACACTTCTTCCTAATTGTCAGTTGTTACTTGACTTCAAAGTTGTTTATGCCTATTATTAAAAATTGTAGTTGTTTTTTAAGATTTACTAAAGCAAGATTACCTATTCCTATTACCCACTTAAACTTCTTTTCCAATTCTGCCATGCTAATGGCTTCAGCATTTTGTTACAAAGATTTGGTGGGGAAGTATATCATACGGGTTTTTTTTTTCTCCTTATTCATTGAGTTATTATTATCTACATTATAAGGTACTGGTATTCATGTGGACTTTGCAGGATGTAATTTAAAGCTTGCGAAGTTTTATTGTCAGCAGTTCAAACCACTGCTTTCTTTGTAGTGTATGCTGTTTTCCATTTGGTTCCTCAAGCATTCTGAGAAACCTGATCTTGTTTCTTATGTGCAGATTTTGAAATGAAGTTTTATACCTATGTGGCAAAGCCAAGAGTGTGATAGTAATACTGTTGGTACATCATAAATCTTAGAAGTTGCATTTGGAGCCTCGAATCTCTCTCCTAACAAGCTAACAATTCTAATGATCTGTCAGAGAATTAATGCATTGTGACAATCCCATTGTTTGCTTTTTAGTCCATTTTTAGAATAATGATTTCTGTTGCTGCTTTCTAGCTTAACAAATGGCGGCACAGTGCGTGACAAAGGTGGAGCTGACCATTTCCTGCACCAATCTCTTGGATAAAGATGTTGGTTCCAAGTCAGACCCACTGTGTGTGCTTCTCCAGAACACGAGTGGTCAGCAGTGGTATGAGGTACAGTATGATGCTTCTCATAGAATCTGCTAAAAACACAGTCTAACTTGTTGGATCTTTTAAAACAGTGGAGCGTATGATTTCATTAAAATATTTTAATTATATACCAGCACCTCTGAATACTTTTCATTAGATCATGTCTGTAATAGTTATACAGGTAGCACACTAATAATCGTTTTCTAATAAATATTTACACCTGTCTGATTTTTAGCACTGTTCCCCCAGCCATGTGTAGACCAACAGAAGAAGCCTTCCAAGTGCTTAAATGTGCTTTTATAAATACAGTACGCCAAAACTAGGGTCTCATCCTGGATTTGACAATATACCATTTTTATGTTGGTCTTCCCTATACAGGAATAGATACTCCTTACAGGAAGCAAAGAAAAACAGGTCCTCAAATATCTCTGACTTACAGCAGTGGGTTTTGCAATATAATGTAGTTATTTACATTTGATGAAAGGTTTGTAGGACGACATGGCTTTATACTTTATACTAAGAAGAACTTTTAAAAGTTTTTAATAATAATGTTATTTGATTTGAGTGCTTGTTTGGTTGGTGAAATACTGGATAAAGTGATATCTTTCTAACTGCAGGTTGATCGCACAGAAAGAGTTAAGAATTCCTTGAACCCAAAGTTTGCCAAGAAATTCCTAATTGATTACTATTTTGAGCTTGTTCAGAAACTTAAATTTGGAATATATGACATTGATAACAAAACCTTTGATCTGAATGATGATGACTTCTTAGGAGAATTTGAATGTACACTGGGACAAGTAAGTATGCAGATGATTCCCCTTAGAATTAAGAAAATAATTGATGCAAATCATTAACCACTTTTATCTTAAATTTATCACTATCTTCTTGTGTAGTTGGGGTACTCTTAAGTTGAATAGGATTCCCTTCATTTGTTTTTTCAAGCCTCAGTTCAGTGTATATACATTTTATTTGCAAAAGGTCTCGAGATAATGTCCTGAAATATACTTAGAATGGTGACTGAAAGATTGCTGTCTGAAAGTAAGTGGACTGTCAATGAACACAAAGTAGTAATTGCTGTTTATTTACTCTAATACTCAAATTCTTATTTTTATGCTCCATAAAAAGAGAATTGGTGTATAGCAACATAAGAGTGTTCACAAGGGCCATGTTAACCTTGTAATTTGCTTTCCACTCAAGGCAAGCAGTGATTCTGGTTCTGCCTACTGCTGATTTCACTCCCATTTCCCTGTCAAATTCTGCTATTGGTGCTATCACAATCGGGCAGCTTCTTTTTAACTTGTTCTTTCCAATAGGTCCTTTGAAGGCGCTTGTTCTCAGGAGAATCTTCTTGGGATTTTTCCTCGCCTGTGTCTAAAGTATTTTTATTTTAAGTGCATTATGAAGACGGAGGCATTGTGAAATGAAATTCAGTAACAATTTAAAATTAATCATTCATTCTTAAAATAAAGAAGGACCTGTAGAATGAGTAGACACACTTCTGAGAAAGCATTGCCTGAAGAGGATAAAATAAAATCAACTAGAAACACTGCAGGGGGAGGCTGATGTTTGTTTGCATGACAAACATTGTGTTTATAAATCTGTTTGCTGAAGCCATTCATGAAACGTGGCTTGCATGTATTTGAATGGTATGTATGAAAAACTTCAGAACAATTTGAGATTGGAATTTAAGGTAGTATCTTTGTCCATGTATGTGTATCATGTTACTACAAGACATTTTATTTCATATTGCTCCTGAAACTCTGCATGTGTTCATCTGCATATGTATTTTAAAATTTTTAAGTGTATCAAGTATTACTTATTTTTTATAGGAGATCATGGGAAGTAAATGTAATGCTGTCATCTTCATGATGACAGAAAAATTCCTAAAATGAGAATACCTCACTATCTTATTTAATTCCTTTGAAAATCTATTAAGTTGCACTAATAATGCTTGATACTCAAATTTTGTCTTGGCAGATAGTTTCTAGCAGGACTCTAACAAAACCATTAGTACTTAAAAATGGCAGGCCTGCTGGAAGAGGAAGTATTACGGTAAGACAATTAATACAATAAATCTCTTCAGCGTTTATCCTTAAATGTTTTTGTGGGTTTTTTTTTTTTTTTAGTAGCTTGAACACAGTGTGTCTAATCTACAGTGTTGTAAAAAGTATCTTAAAGCATTTTTTTTTTCCTCCACTAATATTTCATTGTCATCCAAAAGGAGAGCAGCCCACTTTCTGCATCTATAAGTCTCATTACATCCATCAAAATAATTAGGGCATCCGATGTGCTACTGTTTGGGCAGTATCTTTAATTGTCAGTGTCATCATCTAGTGAATCCCAATGTCAAACCAAATTGTTCCTCCCTCCCTCCACCCCATTTTTTAATGCTTCATTTGTGAGCAAACATGATATTTTTTTAATGGACCTGTTACAGGAGTGTTGTGAATTTGTGAAAACTATGTAGTTCCTGAATACAAAATAAGTATTTTATTTTGTTTGCCTATCTAGATTACAGCAGAAGAAGTGAAGGATAACAGGGTGGTTATATTGGAAGTAGAAGCAAGGAAACTGGACAATAAGGTATTTAAGTGATTGCCGTTTCTTTGATAAAGTAGTAAAATCAGCATCGTGTCAAAACAAGAAACATTAAAATGTTCTTTCTTATTTTTTTCTGAAATAATCAAATCCGTTAAGATTTTTCGTACACTGAAAAAGAAATTGAAGAAAGATTGCTTCAGAGTAACTTCATTGGCTGTTTTGAAATTAATTATAACATATTTCTAAATAAGACAAGTGCATTGCAGGGATATTCCATGAATAGCACTCATCCATTTAAATGTAAATCTTTATATTTAATCATAAAGATAAGGGAATTTTGGTATATCCTTTGGTTTGAATAGTTGTATAAATAATTACCTGTTAGCGATCTCAAATAAATGGTAAAGAGTGTACTTGGAGTGTATAAATCCATTACGTTAAATATTTTGGGACTGGCTAAAAATACTGTATTTAGAAAGGCTTTTAAAAACGAAATTAACTTTTTTTGCCATTATTAATTTTTTAAAAATTATTTTTCCCAGTCGATTTAATGATATTTTTTGAACTGAATGAAATCCTTAGTTTCCTAACTATGCATCATAGTACTTACTAGTATAAGTATTCTTTTGCTTGATCTGTCAGGTATTTTGTATGTGGACACTGCAGAAATTTTATCCTAAATGGACAGACATGCCCTGTTTTCTTCTTCTCTTTCACAGGTGGTAATATAATCAGACTTGCATTTCTTCATCTAAAGCTTTTGTTCCCTGAATATTTAGTTTACTTTTTGTTAATCTAAGTGTGTTTTAACTAGCATTTAATAGCATTCATGCCACGGGCTGTTCTGGGGTAATTACATGTTCTTTAAATACAGGATTTTTTTGGAAAGTCAGATCCTTATCTGGAATTCCACAAGCAGACTGGAGATGGAAACTGGGTGATGGTTCACAGAACAGAGGTAGGATATTTTCAGTCAACAACCTAGAGATTAAGGTTGTTTGATTTCCAGTGTGTCACAGCACTAGAGGTACAGTGCCTTACAAAAAGAAGAGAATGGTCTGGTAGTTGACATACAGACCAGTTAGAAATCACCTCAGCTCTTCCACTGATTTTCTGATAGGACAGGAAATCTACCTTACTCTGATTCTGGTTTGTGCCATCCTATTTTAAAGGAAAATACTTTTTTTTTTTAAACTTTCTGCAATCTAGAAGAAAACAAATGTTTTGAAAAGGTACTGCATACTCATACAGGGATATTTGTCTCAGTGCTACTCTGAGGTTAGAAGTTGGGCATTCCTATGGCTGTGCTGTTCTTATGTCAGTGTCACCTAGCTGTACCATTTACTGATGAAAGTAATTATAGCTAATGCTTGCATAGCAAGGGCAAGCCAAGGATAATGCTGAGTGAGGGAAAACGTGCTTGAGCAGCAGCAGCCTTCCACCCAGGAGGAGGTGCAGAGGTCCCATGGCAGCAATTGACAGGGTAGGAGTAGGTTCAAAATGTCTCACCGTAGTGGAATCTCAGGCCCTAGTCACAGCTGAGGCACTGTGTGCATTTGAAGTGGTGACCATATTGATTTTGAAGCATGGATGTTGAAGAAAATATAAATCTTTTTTGTGTCCGATTTATAAAAATAGTTTCTCTCATGAGGTGGTTCTTCTGCGTAGAATGTATCTTTTCCATGAGGATTTCAGTCATCTTCAATTTCAGTAATGTATCCAGAATTTGCTGTTCCAGCCTAGAACTGTCTGGAGGATTAGTTCTTTATGTTACAGATTTTAAAAACCTTTTTATGTTACTAACTATTATTTACTGCTTTCATTTTCAAGAGAGAGATTTCTTTCTCTGAACTCCTGCAGTGCTGGAAGTATAAGTATTACTATTATTAAGTATTATTAATTAAGTATTGCTGTTGTGTGTAGTTTCGTGTGCTTTCTGAGATCATTATTTGGTGTATTGGTATATTACAGATACTTTCCCGTTGACAAATTCTGAAGATCCTTCAGTATTATTCTTAAATATCATTTATTTAGCATTCAGCTTGAGAGTCTGCGTGCAGTAGGGTGTCTCTTTGTCCTCGTGCACTGTTTCTGCTTAACTATACCATGAATTTCTTGAAGGAACACTTCCGTAAGTGGCATTTTAGAATAAATATAAGCTGGAGTGAATTGTAATCTCCAGAGCATTAATGTATTCATTACATTAATGAAATTCCAATGTAATCTTATTCCATGTTTTTTTGTTAAGTCAGACTTTTATTTATGTTTGTGTGTATTTATATATGTGTGTGCTTATTAAAAAAAAATCAATATTTATGTAATGATAAAGAAATTTAATTATTTGCAGTGTTGTAGCTGAATGATATAGTAGATCACAGTGCAGTCTAGAAAAATATGGCGTTGAAAGAGACCATCTCTTTCGGACAATACTACTGCATGTTAGGAATATTTAGTTTGCTTGTATCCTGTATGTTAGGATTTGGATTGCAGGAAGTGATTGACAGCAGCATTAGTCAACTGGTTTTGCTTACAAAAATCATGGCATGGCATGAAGGTATGACCAATTACAATGATTACTTTACACTCTTGTGAACAATACTATTCTGGCTTTTTTTTTTTTTTTCACAGGTTATTAAAAACAACCTGAATCCTGTTTGGAGGCCCTTTAAAATCTCTCTTAATTCTCTGTGTTACAGTGACATGGATAAGTCAATCAAGGTAGTGTATATGAAATGTGTGTATGAATCAACTCATTAAAAAAAAAAGTAGGATATGTAATAAATGGAAGATGTGTTATTCTAGTTATTGCCTCTTTTTGTTATTCCTATTTGAAAGTCACAGAGATACATGCATGTTTTAGGAAAAAAACCCCTCACATTTGTGATGCATTATCTGGTAAAAATTGGTCTTTGAAAGTCTGGGAAACCAGTTGAACATAAGTAGGTTTGAAATGTCCCATTCAGTTTCTTATTTAGATCGTACAATTTTAGTGTTGCATCAGCCAATATTGATGGTGTTAAGATACTGTATAGCGAAAGACGCGTGGTAAAGGCTAGAATATGCTTTGCTCTATGTTATGAATCTTGTAATTCTTTGTTACTGGTGCAACAGGGAACACTAATGAAATTCTTACTATACTACCTGATACAATTACACTTAGTGTATTAGCTGAGATAACAGACGTCGACCAGATGTATCTTGTGGATACCAGATGTAGCAACTTTTCTCCTCAGATGAAACTTTCTGGCAGAAAGTCAACCAAACCTGTGAAGCGATAGTTTTACCAGGACTGGTTTTTAACTCTTTGTATCTTCAAATCTTATCTTGAATAAATTATGTTTAACTTCTGAATGTTTTCTTTAGGAATTCCCTTTAGGGGATGCTAAACAACCAATCAAAATGCCATTTATAAGCTATTATGAACATGTTAGGAATCTGATATTTTAGCATTTGAAAAAAAAAAAATCAAAGGAAACAAACCACTATACTTGCCGTTCTTCCTCTGGGAAGGAAAAATGAGAGCATGATCTGCAGGTAACAGGTATTAGTCATATGACTTGAGGCAGTCCTGGAAAATGCTTAACAGCCACAGGGATCTGGGTGTTACAAGCACCTGTATAGATTTAAATACATAATTAGAGAGCAGACTAATGAACAACTTCACAAGCCCAGAACCTGCTTCCCTTGCTGCTGTGTTTTTTCCTTCTCATTCCTTTCTGCTTCCCTTTTCTCCAAAATAGCTGTGACAGCTTTTACATTTCCATATACTATAAATATATTTGTCTTTTTTCAGTAAACAGCCATACTAAAACTATAGACCATTAATTAAAATATATCTATTAAGATGGAGTTATTCTCAGCTTTATCATCACTTTAATGAAGTCTGTTCTTTGCAATCTTACCTCAGAAGTGTAGGTTTATTTCCAGAGGAAATAGATTTTACTTGGAGTTGTTTTGGACTTGCAGACAGACAGTAGGATTATGTCTTAACTTTGAAATCCGGGGGCTATCACTTCAAACATTAAAATGCAGACAGAATTGTATTATAATGTTGTTGAAGGATACAATACTTTTAACACTTTTATATGTGCACAGTTGCATACGTAATGGGCTATTTGTCATAGTAAGTAAAACCACCGACTTTTCCATAATGAGTGGCTTTTCACCTATTTAATGGCTTAGTTTGTGCATCCCCAGCAATGCACAAACCAAGCTGATTCTTTATCTTCTGGATTTATTGCTATGTTCCATGCAAGTGTGTTTGCAGTCAGTGAAGTCTTTCTGTGTTGAAAATGTGAGCCTTTCATCTGAAGCATGCCTAGTTCTGCTGGGGAAAATACGTATGCAGTTTTATCACATGGTTCCCTAGCGCTATTTTGTGTCCAGGAGAGCATACACGGAACAAAAGAAATATTTCTGTCTTGCCTGGAGTAAGTATTGAAAATTGGCTTAGATGGGTCAAATATATCAAGCAAGACAAACTTTAATCCCTTCAACAGGAAAAAGAAATAACTCTGCTAACTCTGAACAGGTGTCATAACTTTTGGCTCTGGAAATGTCTTCAGTTTTAAATTTCAGGTACTGAAGCATTTGGCTGAGTATTTGATTGGCTCAATTTATGGCATTCAAAAGAATTTTTACACAGCATCTGCCATGAACATTAGTCTGTTGGTACTGTGGCTGCTTGTATGAGATTTAAGTTGCTATTCAGTGCATGTGCATGTATTTAATTTATTTGTTAGTGCATTCAAAATGTTGTAGGAGTAGTGCAAACCGCAACAGAGGCATGTTCTGCACAGTGTAGAACTTGCGATCTGTGCATCATATTTCGTACTTCAGCATTACTGTTTGTTTTCAGAAGGTTATTCCTCTCAGAAGCTCAAGTGTATGTTGAAGTAGTTTGCTTCACTTTGTTATTCCTAAATGAATTGGCCAAGTAATCAACTAAATTCTTTCTTGAATAGGATTTTTTCAGTCTGGAAAGACAGATGTGAAAATAGCTGTTCAGTTTAAGCCGTGTATATTCAGAAAAGTTTCTCTTGAAGTTTATGCTTTGATTCCAAATAATGGGGGATTCCTACTTTGACTCTTGATTTATTATTGTTATTATAATTATTATTAAATTAATTTTTTTCTGTGATTTGATTAAGTTAACTAGCATGTCTGTGTTGCTAAATTGAAATAAAATATCACAGGTGAAGGGAATTAGCGTATGCTATTATAAATACCCAGCTTTTTATCTAGAAGGGCAGTTGGGGCACTTCGTAAGTTGAGCTTTTAAAAAACAAAAATTGAGGACACTATAATGTTAAAATAACAGTGGTAAAATTATGCTCACTCAAACTGATAGGTTCTCAAACAGAAAAAAGTCTATTTTTCTCTTGTTCTGCCTTCTTTGGTGGGTTGAGATGTTAAAAGATGAGTTAATTGAACAGTAAAACTTATCATTAAACATTCAATACAGGAAAAGAGAGATTTTTAGTTGACGTTCAGATCCATGAAGTGTGGATCATAGTGACTGTTTAAATTTGCTAATCTTAAAAAAAAAAAAAAAAAAAATTCAAGTCTTGTTTCTAGATTTAGGGCTGAAGCTTCATATACTTATAAATTCTGAGTTATTTTGAAGATTAATAAAGTAATGTAAAAGTATTAATAAAACTTTCATGATCACTGAATAACTGATTTACTAAATTTTTAGCTGGATGCTCAGAGACAGTTAAATTTCCTTAATACCTCCGAAAAACTAAGTCTCTTAATCCAAGATGACAGTAAAAAAACCTAGAGATTGTTTTTCTACTCTTCCTGACACCCCTTCACTCCCAAAACATAGTTCAATGTAATTGATGTTACCTGCTCATGCGGCCCCTGACACTGCGTAGTATTCTCGTCTCTCCTTCACTTCAGTGGAAGATCTGATATGAAACTGGGTATATTGGCTTTTACCCAATCTTAATCCATAATGTTTAGATGTAACTCTATGCGATTCTAAGATTGCAATGTGAGAAAAACACCATGATACAAGAGATTTAGGAATGTTTTGGATGTTCAGGTTTGCCTGAACTAGAAATGCCATTGCACTGTTTATTGCTTTTGTAGAGTCATTTCTGTTACTAACAGTGAATAATGCTTCATTTTAGGTTGAGTGCTATGACTATGATAGTGATGGGTCTCATGATCTCATAGGAAGTTTTCAAACTACGATGTCAAGACTGAAGGAAGCATCTCGGTCCTCACCTGTAAGTCTTACATAGTCTAAACTGCCTGTGTGTTTTTGATTAGCTATTTTACTCAATTTGTAGCAAAACTTGTGTCACTCGACTTGCAGGTATCGAAGTTGTGTTAGGCTACAGCTTAACAATGCTACTGTAGTTGAGGCTGACTCAGCATTTACATTAGGCATCCACTTTCCTAGGATTAATATCTTGGTTACAGTTTTTAATGTTACATATCTAAATACCCAATCGTCAGCACAAATGAATTTCACTTAATCATAAGAATACAGAAATAAAAAAATTTAAAGTGTCAAAGACAGAATGCAATACAAATGCCACTGCAGTTAAGTCTTGTAGTATTTTTTTTCAGATTTTACTCAGTCCTTTATTTCAAGTGTGGCACTTATCCACTATAATGCATATTTCAGTGAATATGAAAAAAATTCAACATTTATGCCACGGCACAAAAATGCAATTGAATGTGTTACATCAGGTGCCTCTTCATTAAAGTGAAATTACCCTTCCTGTTCTTACGAACTATAACAATTTGCAAACCTTTTAATAGACAAGGTTTACATTTAGGAGAAGAAAGGTGGCATAGCAACCTTAACATAAAAGTCTTTGGTTTATGGACATGTATGTTGTCAAATATTTTACCATCTTTTCCTTTATTTCTGTAAAACCTGCAGAACTGCTCCTGCAATAATGCGATATATTGAGTGCCTGCATGTACTTTTCTAGCATCTTGAGTATTGCATTTGTACTAAATTCTTCAGAGCTGTTCAATGTGAAGAGTCAACCTTGACTGTAGTGATTTTTTGACTGCTGCTTTGTGCCCTGCCATGCTTTTCTTCTAGATACCTGTTTCTGAATTCGTTTTGAATTATGCATGGTTCAGTTTAAATGCCTCTTAAGGTTTTATATTGTTTGTAAGGAATTTTGGACTCATCATATGCATGTCATTCATATGTTGCCTAGCTGGAGCTCTTAGGTGTTTTTCTCATTTTTTCTAGATGGTGTCAGTTTAGCTTTCAATGCTGGGCCAGATGGTATCAGTTTAGCTTTCAATGCTGACAGTGATCCTTCTTATTATTGTAATTAAAGTGTGCAAAAAAAAACCAAAACAAAAACAAAAACCAACCAACGGGGGAGCAGGAGGATTTCTTAAAATAATTTTTTCTGCTTTATTAATGAAGATTTTATGAATCTTTTAACAAGATGTTTTTCTTCATTCATTTAAAAAAAAAAAGTTGCACTTTTGTTATAGAGCAGTATCGTAAATCAAACAAACCTAGCACGTTTGTATGTTCACATTTTCAAGCACATATTTTTTGTAAGAACTGTGGTAGTGAGTTCCAGTGCAGTGTGAAGCATGTTATGTAAAGGCTCCTTGAGAATACAAATATCTATTTTCGCTGTTCCCCTAGTAGCATAATAGGTGCGGTCTCTTTTGAATTTAAAGAAAAGGTATTTTAAGTTATAATCTGCCTGTGCTGGTTTTGGAAATGCTTTAAGAAAGTTGTTTTCATGAGAACTGTGGCTATACCTATTCTAAGTAACTTATTGCTGTGTCAGTAAGATGAAGCGGAGATAAGAGACAACACAAATAATGTGCTTCAGGTTTCTTCTACTTTTAAAAGGAACTAACCTATAATCCTGTGTGATCTGATTAATTTGATAATGCCTGTAAAATATTTCCAGTGCACATTAGAATTTGACTTTATATACTCCAAGTGTGATATTTAGTTACTCCCACAATTCTGACATCAGCTGCATCTGTGGGAGATTTGGCACAACTTCTTTCAAGTTTACTTGAGGCAAGCAAGGGTGTGACTGTATCCTCAGTTGCTGAAAAAGCTGATCTTGTGTGACTGGAGTGAATGGGTGGCTTTTCATTCTCTGGAGAATTGCTGATTTCCCACCACCACCACCCCTTCCCTTAAGGTGTATCTTCCCCCCAGGCATGCTGTTAGTGTGCTCTGGTTGGAGGATTATAAAATGTAGTTGAATGATTGTAGGTGCTCTGTATCCCATGGCCGTTGTTACTGAGTACCTCACCAATTGACATAGTACAAAAACAAGTCCCTGAAAGACAATTTCCATCAAATAGAAGTGATGCTGGTGGTGAAGTGTCCAAAAAAGAGAAGGTAAAGAAAGGCGTGTAGACTTCTTAGGTTCTGATCTTGTTAATGCATTTTTTTGCTTGAGATTAATTGCAAGATCACTTTTTAAAACTTAATTAACTTAAACCAAAGCAGCGGAACCTGTTTCTGGTTCTGAGCCAGAAGGCACGTCTGGAATACCTCCTCAGACTATTTATGCACGAGACACACTGCATTGTGCCATCATGACTGTATGATGGCAGGAGCTGCTTAACCTGGCTAGCCATTGATTGCACTTGGAGGTTAAGGTATTGGTTTAGTTGATGAAGCCTCAACAACTGATTTTGGAAAGCTTAAACATATACCTCTTATTTTGTACGTTACTGCCACGGCTGCTGGAAACAGTGATGCTTTGCCTGAATCACCGTGTCTTTACCAAAAAGAAAGTTGTTAGCAGAATTCTCAGAGGGAAAATGGTACAGAATTTCTGAAATACAGTTGTCTACACAGACATTTTTGTAAGCTTTTGGGTAAGAGAGGATTTCTGTCTTGATAATGGGTTTTTTCTTACTGATTTTGGGCGGGCTGGGTTTAATTTTGCTTGATAGTGATATAAACTGCATTTTTAATCCAAGCCCAAAGTATCAGTCCTAAAATAAAGAATTTTTAGATTTGTTGCACAAATGATGTTTATAGTGCTTTTGTTGGATTTGTTTGCATTCATGCAGGTTGAATTTGAGTGCATCAATGAAAAGAAAAGACAGAAGAAGAAAAGCTATAAGAACTCTGGCATTGTGAGCGTTAAGCACTGTGAGGTCAGTAGTATATTCTGGTATGACTCTTTGTTTTTAAGTGTTCAGGCATAACAACTCTCATCTCTAGTATGCCTTCACCCTCAAACTGTAAGAAACTTCAAAATGTCTGAAAGTTCCAGACACAGTAAATATTTAAGGGCTCTGATTCATATAAGGAGACAGACTGACAGCTGAATCACGTGCCTGTCCTCCCCTTTCCCCTCACTTTCTCTTGAAGATGCCATCTATATGGCACAGGTCACTTACCAGTTTGTAAGGCCATTCCTGAACCACTGCATTTCCCAACTCACCGTTTTATGGTGAATTAAAATCTGGTAAGTCTGTCACAATATGTTATGTTGTTATATAAATGATAGTGCTTTTGGAGCTGCTTTGTTGTCTGCCTGTAATTTTGTAAAAGGCCTGATTCTGATGCACTGAGTGTGTGATGTCCCATGCTGTAAATATCCTCATTGCAGTGGGTAAGCAGGTGGGATATCAATAGAGTAAAAGTAGTGCTTTGCATGGGTAAAGATAACAAATCTGGAATGTCAAAAGTTGCTGCAATAATACTTACTGTTTTTCTCCCATTAAAAAAAAAGTGAATTTCTATCTTTAACTTCTGTTTTTAGATCATAGTAGAATGCACATTCCTTGATTACATCATGGGTGGGTGTCAGCTGAATTTCACAGTGAGTTAAATCATTTCTATAAAGTAGCTTTTGGGTTTTGTAACAAACTGAAGTATGTAATTGATTGCCTGTGCTCTTCATTTGATTATTGTTGGTTTTTTTCTTTTTTGTTCTGTAGCATGGAGGGGGGAAGCCATTTTGCCAGAGTCCATCTAGTCTGTTTAGAAAAAATGATTTTCTTTACCCATCGCACAAAGTTCTGAACCTGTAGTTACATTTGTTAGGAAGTAGCTGAGCTGTGTGGATGGAGACCAAGGAGAAATTTACAGTTCTCTGGTTTACTTCAAGTTTCCTTTTCATAAGGAAATTCCTCCGACCAAAGATTTTGTCCTTGATGGTGGTTTTCAAGGCCCTTTGCTTAATGAAAGCAACATACAGAAGCCATCATATGGGTCAGAACCCTTAAGTTATGTAGTTTGCGAACCAAATGCAGCACAAGTAACAGTAAGATGTCTTCACCCTGGTAATATGCCTCATCACCGAAGCAGAGAAGACCCATTGAGGTCAGAGAAAGAACTGTCTCTAGGCTTCTGTGGTGTCTGGTTAGTCGTACTTCTGAGAGGAAAGATGTGCATGGCAAGATACAGGATGAAATTAATTTAACAATTAATTAATTGAAGAGCTGCTGTGAACGGTAACTGAAAGTAAACACAGTGAAAACCTGACAGATGAAAGTCATTTCAGCCCTTCTGAGAGATGCAGAGCTTCTACTGGTTTTGTTTTAAGAGTGTTAATATTCCCAGAAACCTGCATCTAAGTATTGTGCCTGTTAGATTTGTAGATGTTCTGGTAACTACTGCTTACAACTTTTTCACGATTTTCACTTTGGCTTTGCCAGAGATAAGAAACATAATTTTACCTCTAACAGCAATTTGATATAAATATTGCATTTGACAGGTGGGGGTAGATTTTACAGGCTCCAATGGAGACCCTCGCTCTCCAGACTCTCTGCATTACCTCAGCCCTAATGGAGTTAACGAATACCTAACAGCCATTTGGTCTGTAGGAATGGTCATTCAGGATTATGATACGTAAGTTTTAGATTTTTATTTAAATAATTTTTTAGATATGGATAGATTTTTGTGGTAATTTCTTAAACCGGTGTTGAAGATGCCAGCAGGTATGTCGGAATGAAGCTTCTGAACTGAAACATAGAGCTAAAAAGACTTCAGAATCACTGCACAATCACATAATCACAAGCAGAAGCTTGTGTTTACAGCAGACAAACAAGGCTTTTCATCTGTGATATAGAGAGTAGCATTAATTTAGATAAATGCTTGCATTCTTGCCAGTTTGGTGTTAAAGACTGGTTTTGGTCCTAGAAACAATTACAGGGGGGAACTTCCATTTAATTTTGCCTCTTAATGCTTAATAAACAGCATTTTTAATGATCAAAAGCAGCACTGATTAGCTAAACTTACTGAACTATGACAGCTGTTAAAGGAAGGCACTCACTTAATTTTCTTTAAAATTGCTTTTTTAGAGATAAGATGTTTCCAGCCTTTGGATTTGGTGCACAAATTCCTCCTTCCTTTCAGGTAATGCAATATGTACACGCACTACACAAGACAACTAAAAGCACTTACTTCAGGAGGAGATTGTATATACAGTCCTGACTATGTCTTTTGTGTATTGACAGGTGTCACATGAGTTCCCATTAAATTTTAACCCATCAAACCCATTCTGTAATGGTAAGTCTGAGAAAGTAACATCAGACCTAGAGAATAAAATGTCTAAAGTGAGGGGATAAAAGCACTTGAAAGGTGAGCTGTGAAGCATGTTGCTCTAATTAAATAATGAGTTTAGTTGTGTAGCAGGAAACAATTTTATAACTGTTTTGTTAGTTATTAGAAATAGCATTTGGTCTCTCTTCTGTAATGATTCGTGAAAGAAGTGTTTTAAACAGCTAGGGCACAGTACAGGTAAGGTGGGAACGTTTCTCTCATGTTGTCAAGCCACTTCATTCTACTTCACTGCTGGTGTGGAGTTGTCTGGTTTGAGTAGGATGCTGCTAGTGCCTGTTCAAGATCGCCTCTCTGATCACACCAGTAATTACCACAAGCTGCCAGGTGAAGAGAACTGTTGTAGTTCAGTTACACACACTTGAGCATACCGTATTTGCTTTTCTATTCACGTAAAGCCAAGCATGTCAAGTATGTGCGTTAAGCATTGGTCAAGCTGAAGGCCTCCATTGCTCATGAATCATTTTTTTTTTTCATCATGGTTAGTTTTAAATGTTTGCATCATCACTTTAAATAACTGATATATACAGTGTTTTAGGAAGATTGAGTGCCTCAAAATATCCTAATTCTAATACAAAAAAAGGAATAGTTCTATTTGTGTTCTTTAGGAATCCAAGGGATTGTTGATGCATATCGGGCTTGTCTTCCTCAAGTGAAGTTATATGGGCCAACAAATTTTTCTCCAATTATAAATCATGTCGCAAGATTTGCTGCTGCAGCTACACAACAGCAAACAGCATCTGTAAGTTCTTATGGTAGTGTGTGTATTTTTCTTACTTTTTGCTTTCCCTTCTAGTTTATAAATACTGTTTTTCTCTTTTAAGCTTCTAAGTGTACTTGTTTCGACAGCTGGCCATTTACCTTGTGAGTTGGTGTTTGGTACCCTTAAAACGAGATAAAAGCCAACTGATTTTTGCAGGTTGTACACAACAATTCTCTCCTAAATTAACTAAGTAAACTCTTCCGAGTTGAAATATCAACTTAAAAATACATGGCAACTTTGTGGTATCTTCAATTCCAAGCTCTTGCAGTGTTATACAGGTGTTAAAGTCTAATTTAAGCCTTTGCATATAGGAAAGTGATTTAACCTCAGCTGAGAAAAATCAACTAGACCTTGTTTCACATCAGATAGCTGAGAGAGAGGATTAAGTAAGGTAATAAAGAAATGGAGGATATAGCTCCTGACACCTAGGTACCAACATGTATAATTAACTGTCCTTACTATAAAGCTTTAGGTGCTGTATGTGCTGTGCCCTCTTCCCTATTAAAATTGTATATGTGAGTTGTTGACCATATTAAGAAATAGGAAGTTTGAAGAGCAAGCCTTGAGTATTGAATCATTTAAATAATAATCCACGCAAATTCAGCAAATCTGAAGCCATGTATGTCCGTAATCATTGATGATAGCAAATACTGGTATCTCAGATGTCATGTAAAATCAGAAAATAAGATTAGCTATTTTTGCATGTAAAAGTATCTGTGGAAACTAATTTGGAAAAGAGCTATGGATTTTCATATGCCAAGAGGTTTATAAGGTTTTGCCTTGGTAGTCTTTCAGTAGTAACTGTCATCAATATTTATATATTAGGAAAGTAGCAAAACTTTTTGTACTTTTTTTTTCCCCCCGAGTGCCATATGCCTAGCAAGAGATTTATTTTTTCTGCCTGAAAGGATGTATTGAAGAAATTTTGCTGCCTTGCCATTTAATGCATATCGTGGATATTTTGGGTTGGGTTTTGGTTTTGGGGTTGGTTTTTTTTCCAGTAGGGAAAAGGGGGGGGGG